GCCCCCCTCCTCGCCCCATCCCCGTCCGGGCACGGGGGCGCGGCGGGGGGGTCCCCAGCCCCTCCCCCGCAGAGGTCAATGCCAACGAACAAACGTCCCCTCCCTCCCTCCCTCCCTCTCCCTCTCCCTCTCCCTCTCCCTCTCCGCCCCGAGCGCCCTTCTTTGAGCCAGACGCCAACTTGACCCTCACCAGCATTATCAGGAGCGCGCTCAGCAAGTTGGTAGTTACCCTCCCTTTTCCCCGGCGCCCCCAACTCAACATCATTCCTCCGACCCCTACCCTTAGCCCCGTCACCCACCGGGGAGCACGAGGAAGGCTCGAAGCTCCAGGACAGGACCAGCCAAGCTGACAGGTCGATTCGCCCAGGCCCGCGCCCGCACGCACGCACGCACACGGCCCCGCACACAGCCCCACCCCACCCTGCAACCAGCCCCGTCGACTGCCTTACACACCCGCCCCCGCGCTGGCCGGCCGACCTAGTGCCTTGTTCTCACCCCCGTGCTGGCGGAGCGGACGCCGCGCTCTGGGTCCCAGAGGGGCCGGGTGGCTCAGACGACCCACCATTTCCTCACCCCGACCGTGCTGAACGGAACCCCCCCCCCCCACATGAGAGAAAATAAAGGAGCAATAAAGTCACGAGAAATTTCGTCCCCCAATCGAGAGCCCGAGGGGCACCCCAGCCCCGCCTCGGCGCCCCGGGGGCCCCCCGCCCTCGGGGCGCCCCCCTCCCCCCCAAGCCAGCCTGGGCCAGCCCCGCTTCGGCCCCTCCCGGGAGATCCGTGCGCCCGACCAGCACCAGCATCGCGGACCGCAAAGGCCGCCCGTCCCGTCAAACAAGTTTCTTCTTAGGCTAAGAAACGCAGTATATACGAGTATCTCTATATATAGTACTAATGGATTTGGTGTGCTTCCCCCTTAGCGTCCCCCGTCCCTCCGCTCCTCTTCCTTCAGCCTGGTCTCCCCCTCTCTCTGCCCTCCACCCCCGTCTCTGCACTGAGATACATAAGAAACAAGGGTAGTTTACTGTCTGTTTTGTTTTCTGGGTTTTCAGTGTCCTAGCGGAATGCAAGTAGGCAGCCAGCCCGTATGTTCCCTCTCTGCCCCGCCCCGCCCCGCCCCGCCCCCGTCACTGCGCTTCTGTTATACCATCTTTGCCTGACTCTCTCCGGCTTCTCCATTGAATGGCTAATGTGTATGTGAAATAAAGAAATAAAGAAAAACAAAAGTAAGAGCGCCCGAGCCTTTGCTAACGCCGTCGTGCGGGACCGGTTCGGGATCGGTGGGGGGAGGGTCCCGGCGTCGATTCTGCGCCTCCCTCGGCGCACCTGGCGCGCCGCAGACGCGGTCCGGGAGCGCGTATCCATGAGTCTCCAGGAGGGGGCGCCGGCGAGAAGGGCGAAGACCAGCCCCCTACCCCGTCCCTCCCCACCTCTCTCGGTGACCCCAGCCCGGAAAAAAAGGCACCACTTTAGTCCGATGACCTGTCTGCCATGTTGGTTCCCGGACCTCGTCCCCCGGAGGAAGACGCGGGAAAGGTCATTTCCAGCGGGCGGCGGGTGATAAAAAGGCCTACAGGGCCCCCGCGGGCGACAGTCGCCCCTCCAGATCCCCGGGCCCTATTCCCCCGTTGGGAACGTCCTCACTGGTCCCTCTTCCGGGGAGTTCGCTCCAGAGCAGGCGCAGAGCATCGGCCGCCCCTCTCTCGACCGCCCCGGGCTGAGGTCCCGGCGCCCCTCGGCTCCGAGGCCACGCCCGCGGAGGTCACCGCACCTCAGGGCTCACGGCCGCTCGTTCCGTCTTGATGGGCCGGGCCGCCCCATCGGGGCTGCCGTCGGGGCCGGCCGGGGGCGCGGGCTGCGAGCGCATCGCTGATTCGGCCCTGCGACACGGCCCGCGGCGGGCGCTGTCGTTCGGGCCTCGGTGCGCTGGCCCTGGCCGTCTGCGGGGCCCGGGCGGGGCGGGGCCTGCGGCCAGAGCGGCCGCCTGGTCGCGCAGCAGCCGCACCAGGAAGCCGATGTATTTCATGGCCAGGCGGAGCACCTCGTTCTTGCTCAGCTTCCGGTCGGGCGGGTGCGTTGGCAGCAGCTTCCTGAGCTCTGCGAAGGCGCCGTTCACGTTCTGCTGCCGCCAGCGCTCCCGGCTGTTGGTGAACACACGCCGGGCCACCTTCTGGGGCTGGTGCCCTGGGGAACACGAGGGGCAGATTTGGCGCGGAGGCCCGGGGGGCGCCCCCCTGGGGCCCTCACTTCAGCGCCCAGAATCTCCGAGGGGACTTCCGCACAGGCGGCGCGGGCTGGGGCTTTTTCCACGCAAGGGCTCCACAAGTAGGATCCATGGGTAGCTCCCCTGCTGGGTAGCCACCCCTCTCCCACCCTACTCACCCCAGCGGCCTAGACAAGGACCGTCACCAGCCCAGGCTGCAGGCAGCCGAAGCCTTCCGAACCCGACCGTCCACACTTCTATGTCAACGGCCGAGACTCCCTAGGGACCTGTTTCCTGTGGCTGTCAGTCTGGAGAGCCGTCCTTGCGGTCCCCATTCTGAGTGTGGCCCTGCACGTGGCTGGATGTGCACACGGGTCTGGGAGGTTCTCTGGGTGTGAACGTGGGCCTGCGCGTCTCGGGTGGCTGGCTGAACTCCTGGGATATCTAAATGGCTGTGGTTGCCGGGCGCTTGTGGTCGTGTGGCTGTGGTTCTGTGGCTGACTCTTGTGGGGCCATGGTCCTGAGTGGCTGTGGTTGTGTGGCTGTCCCTGCTGTGGTGGTCGTCCTGTGGCTGTTCCCTGCGTGGCCGTGCATTCGACTGGAGCTGTCATTTCGCGGCCCCCATGCCACGGTACGTTTTGCCATGACTCTCCGTGGCTTGTTGGGTGGCTGTGGTCGTGTGGGACCGGCCCCGGGCCTGTGGTTTTTGCACAGGAGTGTAACCTGAGCACTGAGCCCCCGTGTGGGCTATCCTGTGTGTGCCTGGGCGCACCTGCAACAGCTCTCCCCGTGGAAGACGCGAGCCCCCGCAGAGACGGCGACACACACACGAACCCGCACTCACCCTCGGCCAGCTCCAGCTCACAGTGGCTAGGTCTCCGCTTCAGCCGGCTGCTGGGGAAGATGCCAAAAGGTCCTGCCGGCCCAATGTAGAGGCTGTAAGGGGTCGTGGGTCACTAACGCCTTGTGGGCAAGGACCCTGGCCCCGAATTCCCCCCAGGTCCCAGCCCCCCACTGACCTGTTGAGAAAGGGATGAGGGTGGTAATGCAGGGCCAGGGGGGGCGGGACAGTTCCCAGGGTAGAGAGTTGCAGCAGCGGGGGCCGCAGGGTGCTCAGCTCCGTGGTGGCCATGGTTGCCCCGGGGGGCCTGGTGTGGCCCAGGCTGATCACTGGCACGCCAGGGGGCAGCCTGGGGGGTGAGGAGCCTCGGTGGCCAACCTCCTTCACCTTTGGGGGCCCAGGTGAGGCAGGCTTGGGGGGCGGAGCGGGCGCTGGGCTGGGGGCACACACCATTTCCGCCTTCTCAGTCATGGTGGGGCCCACCTCTGTCTGGGCCTGGGGAGGGCACATGGACCCCGAAGGGGTGCTCACCTGCGGGAGACAAGGAAGCCAGTGGGGAGGGAAGAATCAGATGCCACGCACATCCCTTAGCCCAGCAGAGCCCTCAAATGAGAGGGAAAAGGTGGGGGTGGAGGTTCGGTGGGCAAAAGCAGGCGGGCTCCGAAACCACCAGGACACGGGAGGGGACCTGACGCAAGGGCAAGAGGTACCCAGTGACCTCCTGGGCAGCGCTGGAGCACCTCCTGGAGCACTGGGCAGTGCTATCTCTGAGCTGTTTGTGACCCACGAGGGCCTCAGCTGCCCAGCTCCTGAGCAAATTTCCCTTATTCCAGAATCCCTTCTCACCTGGAGGCGGGAGCGAGGGGCGAGGCCAGGAACCCATGACGGATCCTGCGGCCCCCAGGATGACCCCGTAACCTTCAGATCTGATCCCAAGACCCCTCACCGGTAGCGTGTGACCTTAGAATCCCTCTGTAATTGACTCTGGCCCTTCACCGATTCCCCCCACCCCTCCCCCAGCTGACCATGTGGCCCTCAGCTATGACCCCGAGAGGCTCTTCCCAACGCCTCCCTGTCACACCCTGAAAGTCCTCTATAATCGCTCCATTGACGCCCGCCCCCACTGAAAATGTCCCCCTTACTAACCCTGTAACCCCACTGCTGACATGATGATAAAAAATGCTGACCCAGGATCCCAAAGACTGACTCCACTGCCCAGTAGACAGGGTCATGTCCCAATCCTTCTCTGGCCCTATCAGCAGCCTCCCCCACCCTCCCCACCCCATCAGCATCCACTCCTTTGCAACCTGGGTAGCCGTCCCTGTTCACTCTTGGCCCCACAGCTTGGAGTGTCCCAGCAACTTCTGGGACTCCTGGCCCCTCTGTCCTGTCTTCCCTACCTAGGTCCTGGGCTCTCAGTGAGTACCTCCCCCCCCCCCCCCCGCCGTTGAATGAATGAATGAAGGATGGATGGAATGAATGAATACAGGCGGTCCCAGGATACCCCACCTTCAGGCAGACTCCGCTCTTACCCCGGCGCTGGTCCTGCTGCCTGGTGAGAGCCCCGGCTCTGTCCTGCAGGGCCAGGATGCAGGTTCGGCTGCAGGCCAGGCTCCGTGGCCCTGATCCGGTCCGGCCTCTGCGCTCTGGGCCGCTGGGAGCTTGCCGCCCCCTCCCGGCAGCGACGTCGGGCCGCGCCTCTTCCCGGGCTCGCTAGGGCCCCGGCGACGGCGGCGTGGATCCCTCGAGGGAAAGTGAGCTGCTCCTGGCCGGCCCGCCCTCTCCCCGCCCCCCGGCGGCCCAGTTTCCTCCCTCTCACCCCCGGGCCGCGCCGGAGGATGCCGGGCCGGCACAGATAAGGCCCTGGCCGACTGGCCGCGCCTGATAAGGAGCCGGGCTGACCCCGGAGGAAACCGGCGGGCGGGGAGCTCCGAGCCGGGGCCTCACGGCCCCGCCCCCGGCCGGCGACGGACAGGGCCGTCACCCCTCAGGGCCTCACCTTACGTCCTCCCAGGCACTGGAGTGGCCCAGGGTCTCTGAGGACCCCGACCCAGCGCGCCGCTGGGAGTGAGGTACCCGGATGCACGCAGAGGGGGAAACTGAGGCAGGGAAGCAGCAGCCTCCAGTATCGCGCTTGGATTTCACCTCCGGCTTTGAACACCCCCTGCCCAAGTGTCCGCGCTGATGGGGTGGAGGAGAGCCCTTTCCGGCAGTCTGCGGCCTCGTGACCCAGGGCCCCCTCCTGCTCCTCCTCTCCTCACCCTGCTTTGTTCCTCTTTTTACAGACCGCCTGCCGGGCTTCGCGCCACCCCCACCCCAGACTGGGGCACTGGAGGGAAGGCAGTTCTGACAGTCTGCCCTGGCTGTCCTGCCGGGCCCGAGTGTCCTGGGCCCCCAGGCCTGCTCTCCACACCACCTTTTCAGGCCCAGGAGGGTGAGAGGAAGCACCATGGCTGGGAGGGACTTCCTAGGGAGCCAGGGCTGGCAGAACCTTACAATAGGTGCCCCCAGCCCGCCCTGTGGCCACGTGGATCCTCTAGGCCACCGGGTCACACAGCCCCAACTTGATGGTCTCTGGCCCTCCTCCCACATCACAGGCCGCTTTGAGGACGGTGATAAAGAGGCGTTGGGCAAGCATCTTGCAGTGGTGGGAAGCTCAACACCCGGCTGGAGCCTGCTAGAAAGGCGAAAGGCAGGGCCCTGGGAATAGCTAGGGAGCAGGGACAAGACTATACTTTTCTCCAGGCCCCCCTCACCCGCGTCCATCACACTTTGCCTCCAGTGTATCTGGGGGCCTGCAGGAGCAGCCCAGCACGGATACTACCACCACCCTCCCAGGAGTCTGGTGAAGCCCCGAGCCAGCCGGCCTCCAACCATCCCACTGCCCCAGGGAAGCGCGAGGTCAGCTCTGAGCCCCCAAGTTAACAGATCACCCCAACAAACTAGGTTCTGGGATTAGGTTCCTTTTACAGGCGGGGAGGAAGCCAAGGGAAAGGTGTTTGCGGGGGGGCCCCACGGCTACCACGTGGGGGTGGGGATTCTGCCCTAAGCCTCTCCGTTAACGTTGCTAACCCTCCGTCCCAGAGGGGAGGGGAAGCGGCAGGCCGGCTAGTGCCTCAGTGTGCTCGACTGAGGGGCCGCGGAGCAGGAAGCACCTGGCCTGGAGCGGATGCACAAGGCGCCTGGTTCCGGTCCGGCTTCCGCCACCGCGGCCCTGTGGGGAGCTCGGCCAGAGAAACCGGGCGGCGACGCGAGGCAGGGTAGGGGCTGGGTGACTGGAGGGCCCGCCTGTGTCTGGGTGCACGCCAACAGGGGGGCGGAGGCCCCACGGACACGAGCGCGCGGCTGCCGCCCCGTGGCCGGCTGGGGAACTGCAGGCGCCAGCAAAGGGGCGGCGGGCTGAGAGCCTCGTGCTGCGGGACAGACCATCCGGCTGGCCGAGGGTCAGCTCCCACACCCCCATACAGACAGAACACTCCAGATGGCAATACTGACAGCACTTCGGTCGGGCAGGGACAAACAAACCTCCAGATGCGTAGCGCTTCCCCAGGGAGTGAAACAAAAAAAGATGCACAGAGGAACGCACGCTCCAGACACGCAGCTGGAGAGACGGACAGGGCCCCTAAGGCGGATGGACAGACAGACCCGCAGGCAGCCTCCCGACTCAGACGAATGGCAGTCGGAAAGGTGACATATCTTTATTGGCTCAGTCTACACCCGGACCAGCGGCAACGCCAGACCCAGGCGGGTTCTGGTAAGAGGTCTTGGGATGGTCAGGGGAGGCGGCTGCAGCGGTGTCCTCGGGTGCTGGCGGGCTGTGGGAGTAGCAGCACTGGTCCCCGCGTTGACAGGTGCCCTGGTGGGAGAACGGTGGGTGTGAACCCTGGCTCAGTGTTCAGCAGCCTCTGCTGGGTCCCCTTCCTAGACGGGGAGCTTGCTCGCACGCCCTGCCCGCCCCGGTTCTCCCAGCCCTGCCACAGGGAGGGCGATCCCTGGGTGCTGCTGTGTGGGGTGGTGGGGGTGCCTCACCTCCTTGAATCTTTTACAGGGAAAGGTCTTGAGCCGGGCAGCCCGCTGGACCGGGTCCTCAGCTGGCTCCTTTCTCTTATTCTGGTGCACCCTGCGTCTCTCCTCCATAGCTCCACCTGCGGCCTTGCCCCTGTGCAGGCAGAGGAGTAGCTGGCACCCCGTCCTGCCCCGGACAAGCCCCACCGCCACCCGCGCTCTCACTCACCCTGGCCGGGCACGGGGCCGGGGGCCCCAGTTGGCCTCAGGATTAGCCTGGAAGCGCTTGAGTCCTCGCTGGCGGGAGCTGGGGTTGGCGTCATCCCGGACGGCGAAGTTGGCCTGCAGCCTGGGGACGTGGGAGTGGGGGCTGAGGGGCAGGTGCCCTGCAGGTGTGCACGGACCACCTGCCAACCCCCGTGCAGCAACACGTGCCTTGGGAAGGCCGTGTCCGCCCGGGTCGGGATTCTCATCCAGTTAATGAACATGTATCCAGTGCCCACCACGAGCCTAAGGCCTGCCATTGGTAAGGCCGACGTTCTTACAGTGCGGGAGACAATGGGACAGATCAGAGGTGAGTGAAGTGTAGCGTGTTAGGGCACGGATGAGAGTTTTGAGAAAAACAGAGCAGGACAAAGGGAATGGGGAGGCGGGGGAAGGGGCGCAGGACAGGACAGAGCGGTCAGAGACACCTGAAGGAGGGAGGGAAGAGCCTTCAGGGGACCCGGGATGGGCACTCCAGGCACAGAGAACAGCCCTTATAAAGGCCGTAAGGGGGCGCTGCGTCTGGGCAGTGTGAGTGCAGAGGCCCAGTATGGAGGGAGGTAGGGAGAGTGGGGATGAAGGGGGAGGGAGGGGACAGGGAGATGGCGCACAGCTTGCAGGCAGAACTTGGGTTTCTAGTGAGTGAGGTGGGAGTCACAGAGGGTTCTAAACAGAGGGTGGACAGGTCTGACTCCGGTCCTCACCGATGTACTGTGGCTGCTGTGGGGAGAGGCTGGGGCCGGAGGCGGGGGCGGGGGCGGGGGGGGGGGGGGGAAACCAGGGCGGAGCCAGCAGCACTGGTCCAGCTGGGCAGTGATGGGGCCAGACCAGGGCAGGGGCAGAAGGGGAGGGGAAGCGGGAAGATTCTGGATCTCACGTGAATGAGCATGTGTCTGTGGAGGGAAGGATCTGCGTTGTCCCCTGCCCACACGTGAGCTCCCCACGCCCGCGGGCAGCCACACCAGTGCCCGTACCTGGGCTCCACGCTGAGGATACGGAACGCAGGGCTGGCCTCTGACAGCCTTTCCCGCTTCACCGGACACTCCTTTTCCTGGGAGGTAAAGTCCAAAGGTCAGGGGACGCTGGGCCTGACCATGTCCCGGCCTCGCGCCCCCATCTGGTCAGGCCAGCCCTCACCCAGCAGCGCATGATGTCCCAGAGGGCTGAGGAGGGGGCATCCGTCTTCACGGCATTCTTACAGGCGTGGGAGAGTGAGACCCGGAAGCCGGCATGGAGGAGGGCTGACCTGGGGACCAAGAGGGGCCGTGGGTGGGGGGCGGGGGGCCGGACCCCAAAGCCAGCGCTGATCCGTGCGGGTGTGACGCAGCTGAACGTCTCACGGTGACTACGCGGCCGGGGGAATGCCAGTGATCGTGATGGGGAGACTATCTCCCTCCCCAAGGCTCAAGGCCTCCGCGCTCTCTTCTAAGCACCTGCACGTAGGCCTGTTGGAAAGCTGTTTTACCCAAGACTCTGGCCTTGAGGGGGGCCGGCCTTGCCCCAGGGCACCCGGAGGGCGGGCGAAGGGCGCAGACTCCTTCCCGCCCGGGACTGGGCACTCACCGCAGCTGCAGGAGGCTGGGCGTGCTGCAGCGGATAGTGCTGCTCAGCTGGTCCAGCGTGTAGTAGAGAGGCACGTCCGGGAGCTCCTGCCGTGGGGACAGGAAGGGCACGGGGTGGGTGGGGGAAGGATGGCTGGGCACAGGCGGGGCCCCCTCCCCGTCACCCCGGGCCCCCACCTCAGTGATGACGCTCAGGACCCCCTGGATTCGCTCTGAGGTGTGGAAGCGGCCAGGATTGGTGCTCACAGCCTGCAGCACGCGCCCCACGAAGTCCAGGTCGTGGATGGGCTCCGCCCACAGGGGACCGCCAAGCTACAGACACGGGGGGGGGGGGGGGGGGGGGGCGCGAAGGGCCAGGTGTCAAGACAGCTGGAACCCCAGCGTCCCCCTGGTTTCCCCGGCCCTGCCTCACCTGGTGTCGCTGCCCACAGTGCTCACACTCAGGGCTGATCGGGGGACCACAGGCCGCAGAGAACTTGACCCTGCGGAGAGAGGGGTGGTTAGGGGGCGGCGACCCTAGGACGCCTCCTTCACCTTCCTCCCCCGGGCTCACCCGTGCTCACCGGCCGCCAGAGGCTCCGGACGTTTTGCCAAGGCGCTGGAGGTGAAAGGTCCCGCAGCCCACACACTGGAACACCAGTGCCTGCTTGCTGGGGGGGGGGGGGGGGGGGGGGGGGGGGGG